TTAGAAAATGTGTGGAAAATAGCATTGCCGAGCGCTTACAAAATGCGGCCTGTGGAGCTTATAATTAATAATATCAATACTATTAATATCGTCTTTACTTCGAAAAGTGTGTGGAAAATAACATCCCCAGAGCTCTTACAAAATACTGGTCTGTGAAGTCTACATATATAATATTACATATCTCTATTTGAGAGGTGTGCAGAGCTCTTAGAAAATAAAGTGGTTACTGTGCCCGATTTGCAGTACATACGACAGGTTCTGCGTAGCTGAATGCAATAATCAAGTATCTGCTGGCTGTTTGCAGCCAATCGATGCGTTTCGTGCTCGGCAGAAATGTTTATCTTACGTCCAATCGCGAGGGAGAGAGGCGGTCTGATCGTGCGACAGATCCAGTCAGTGTCGCAGGTCGGCAGGTATTGCCCAATCAGGGCGCGAGTTAGTTGTGTCCGCTTTTGGATATAATTGTAATTTTAGCATAGTTAGGTCGAGTCAGAAAGATAGGCGCGGTCGGTAGGATGGGAGGAAACTGTATTAGACAGGCCGGGTGTAGCCATGCGGGAAGGCAGGTCAAAGCAGGAAGACAGGGAGTGCGACGGACGGATTGACAGACGGACGGACAGACAGACAGACACGCTACAAGGTTAGAAGCGGAGAGACTAGCGCTCTGGGCGCCCGCTCCGCGGACGCTAGGGCATGGTTGGTTGGTGTAGAGAGGGCCGACCACCTCCGCTGCGCTGCGGTGGGCTTAGAATTTCTACTCGAAGCGAAGCAACATATAGTACCTGTATACTGTGATCTAAGTATATTATGCTCCAAAACAGCACCGCACACAGTATCCGTAGTGCTCACATGTTATTGTAGACATGACCAGGGTTTAACGTGATCTGCAAGAAGAGCACCGTCTTATCCTGGAAGCTTTTGTCTATAATCTCGTTTGAGCGCATTGCTCCCAAAATGACACGAATCGGAGGCGCGCGTGGTTGCAAAGCTAATATATACTGTACGGAAGACGGGTCAGTATCAATGATGCTACGAAATATACGTTGATCGGTGAAGCGAATCCCAGTGTAGCTAGAGTAAGTACGCCTACTCAAACGTATTTTACCCATCTGCACGTCATCGCCGTGAGGCAGTCGACACATATCACCGATTGCGACGGTCGAATAGAGCAATGTTAATCAGCTCCGCGCGCGAAGTATCTTTTAGGATAGGTAGTATATGCCGATGGTCGCCACAAACATCAATATTATGCTTTGAAATTATTCTGCTGAGCTGTTTGTGATGTAACTGAAGGGTATTTCCACTATCTTCCGCATGCATTGATCTTACTTGCATAGCTGACGTACTTTCTGACTTATTTGCATAGCTACTGACTGACAGAGTGGTGTAACTCTTTGCCGAGTGGCATTTACTGGCTCCGATATGTATGACGAACATAGGAAGCCACCTGACTGTAGGCTGACTATCAACTGTAGTGATGTTTAGACTTAATCTGAAAAGTAGCTCATGTACATTATATGAGGTACTTTTGCTGCCTACTTATCAACTCAACGTGCTATTTGATAT